ACCTGCGGGCGAGGGAACGGGTCCCACCGCCGCTGACGCCTTTCTCCGCAGATGCTGAGGCTGCACCTGCCCGACCCGCCGGTGGACAGCGAGGAGGACGAGGAGGACGATGAGGCGGCGACAGGCGCCGCAGCTCAGAGCAGCCGCAGCTCCATCCCCATGGATGCAGGTAACGGTGTCTCCGGCGGGGCTCTCCCGCGAGTCAACCGCAGTCTGACTCCCTCTCTGTTCCCAGAGCATGTGGAGCTGGTGAAGAGGACGATGGCCAGCGTGAAGCTGCCCACACTGGGCATCCCCGCCTGGGCTAGCCAGATCTCGGAGGACCAGTGGAAGGACGTGGTGCAGCGTACGCTGCAGGCTCGGCAGAAAAACCTGACCCCCCGCCCGGCCCGATTCGAAGTGAGGCCCGAGCTGCAGCGCAGGGACGGCTAACCCCAGCCCTCCCTCCACCATGCAGGCACGGCAAAGCAGGCACTCGCTGCCTCCCAGCCGGGTGGTGACAGGACTTGCCAGTATCGACCTTTCAGTTTTTCCCACTGACACTGTCTGAATTCCCTTCCCACTCCTCTTTCCTGGTTCTGGCTGGTGTGTAAGTCAATGTGATGTCCTTGTGTTGGCGTCCTCTGCCTCTGAGGAGCCCGACTGGTTTCCATACCTGCGTGCATGTGGGGCAAGGGGGCTTGGCTGGCTTTGCCCAAATCCTCTCGGGACAAACACTGGACTTGTCCCCCTGCTGACAGTACTGGAGAAGTCCCTCTCCAGGCTAGGGCCTCTCCTCTCAGGACAGGGGCTGTGTGTTGGAATAGCAGGAGGTAGAGCCGGATGTGTCATTCCAAGAGACTGGTTTTATTTAGTTCTGTACATACAGGGACATCTGTACAAAATCCAACACTTTCATACTATGTAATGCTCTACTGAAAATAAAGTACACCATATGTACATATGAACTGTAAGCAGCTTAATACTTGTGTCCAGGGGGTGAATGCAGTAGTTTTGCTTGTTCCCTTGGGAGGAGGGAGCCAGGTGAAGTGGAAGAGGCAGCTCCAGTTCTGTCCATTTGGCTGATGTGGGGAAAGGCGTAGGCAGAAATGAGCAGCACTAATGCTAGAAACCAAGTATTGAGCAAGGGGCAGCTGTAGCATGGCAGATGCAGTTCTGCCTATGAGCAGTACATGTGGCAGAGAGGGTGAGCAAACCCCCCATCTCACATGGTCCCCTTCTAAGGTGTCCAGGACACTGGAATGAATAGGCAGCAAACTAAGGGTGATGTGAAGCTACTAAGCCTAAGTTCCCTGACCCAGAACAAGACACACAAAGCTGTGGAAACATCAAAGCCATACAGCACGTAGTCATGATGCTTTACAGTCCTGCCCCTGCACATGGCACAACCCCAGCAGCTCAGGGGCTGCCAGCAGACAGACCATCTGAAGGACAGTGCCAGCCCCTGCGCGCCACAAGCCTCTGTCCCTTCCACAGGCAGAGCAGCCTGCAGCAGGAAAAGCAGCCACTGGCCCAGCAGCAAGCAGGCTTGAGTGATGGCACACATGCTGTAGCACTCTAAAAATGAGGTGGTGGCTTATAGCACAATGCTAAGCAACCAGCTGGAAAGCCTGTACTGCAACAGGAAAAAAGCATCCTGTCCAGCCTGAGCCCAGCAGCCCTCGGCTCCGGTGTGCCATCCAGCATCACCCAGCGCATGTCTACATGCTGTGCCAGGCATGAGGTAACTGATTGGCAGCTGATCATGAGCTTGGACTAATGTTCAAAATAAGCAATAACCTCCCTGAGGTGTTTCTTAAGTCTCCTGACAAACTGGCCCGTTGTGTGACGCGGGGTGGGGAGGTCACCCCTACGTGACTGGGGGTGACCTCGCACAAGTGCTTGCCAGCTGCTCCTAAGAGATGGTGGCGTGCCTCGTGAGGGCTGGGCTGAGAGAGCTACACGGGGCAGGGATGCAGGATACACAGGGAAAAACAGCTTACTTGGGGTTGGAGGAAATATGTGCTGCACACCAGCAGCAAGATTAGACGGGATGACCCTCTGACCTGGGAATGGTTTACTGGTGAGGAGAAGCAGATACACCACGACCTTTACAACATCCCATGACACTGCAAAGCAGTGTCAGGCTAGCACTGACCCTGTAAGCTCCCTGCACTAATGCAAACCCACTTAAGCTTATGTGTTAAGAAAGCAGGTGCAGCAAGAAAAAAGCAAGGAGGACTCCCTTCTCAAACACAAGCCAGCCTCTGAGGTGGCACCTTGGCCTGGCACTGAATCTGCACCACAAAAAGTAGGGGAGAAAGCTGGATCACAGTAGCACCCAAGTGCTGCACAAGCCCCTGGGCTATGAGCAAATGTGCTCTAAATGCTAAGTTAGCACAAGTCTCTGACACACCATGTGATAACTAACGAGGGCCTCTGCCCACAGCAGGTGCCAAAGTAACAGGGCAAGGTGAACTTTGCTTAGAGCACCCATGGAAGCAATTCAGCAGTAGCACTTAACCATTGATCATAACAAGGAGAGCCACGCCCTGTAAGGTGTATCCATTGCTTCCACTAGCTTGTGAAAATGACTTTAGCAGCACAAGCTACCTAGAAACCCAGGGCTAAGAATGGGATACAGAGACAAAGGGAGAGGTGCAGGAGAATTTTAATTGAGCTGGTAGAGGAGGAAAGCAGAAGTCAGTGGCTGACACCTGCTACAAAGCAGGAAGTTAATTCTGGGCCCACAATTAACCCCAGAGATTAGTATGGAGATGAGTCAGCACAGACCACAAACAGCTGAAGGAATTCACTTTCCCACAAGAGAGCTTCTAAGGATGCTCTAAAGGGAGGTCTGCAATAGTATGTAGTGCTTGCATCCAGCTTTACTGGGGATGGCAAAGCACTGAACCCCCACTCCACTGACAGGAATAGAACAAAGGGCGTGGAGAAAAAGAAAGGTGGAAGCAAACATCTCCTCTGCTGTACGTAAGACTCTTCAGCTTTGGAGCTGCACACCAAGGCAAGGTGAAGAGGCAGAAAAGCCTCTACAAACTCTGCTCCTGCCCCAAGCTCAGCCTGACCTCTGAGTGCCACAGGGCTCGGCTGCACAGGCAGCTCGGGGACAGGCATGGTGGAGATGGGCACTTGGGGCTTGTAGCAGCACACTGAGCCACAGGTGGCAGTCTCTGGCCAACACAGAACCTGAGCCAGGCTCTGGTTTTCAGGCAGACTGAGAAGGGGGTGGCAGCTGGCAGTGAAGCAAGTCCTGCCTGGACCGATACAATCCGAGGTCAGGCAGACTTCCTTCACTGCATGCACAGCCAAGGTGGAAAAGCAGGAGGATGGAGGAAAAGCAGGAGGACATGACAGTGGTGAGATACAAGTTATAACGTAAAATCAGATCTACGCTGGAGGTATGCAGATGGAGTGGAGGACAGGCACAGCTCACCATGTTCATTCCTTACTTATACATGAGAACCAAGTGCATATCTGTGACTCCTGGAGGAAAGGGATGGGGCAGAGCTTCCCAAGCCAGCTCCTGAGCCCGTCAGAGAGCCTCCTGGCTTGAGGTGAGGAACTCTTCTGCTCTCTTGTGGGCCTCCAGGGCTTTTATAGTGTAGACGTCCTGCGGAAGCTCAGATTTCCGGCGGAGCAAAACTTTGTCCTTCTTAATGTCTTTCAGCATCTACAGACAAACCAAAGGAGTCGGGGATCAGCAGCAAAACCCTTCACCCCTTCAGCCTCTGACTCCAACTACTCTAAGATACGCTGGGTAGCACTGCAGCATGCCGCAGAACAGACTGAGAGCCAAATACAGACCAAAAGGACACATAAAAGTCCCACCTGCACTTTTTCCAGAGTGGGAAGGTGAGATAAACTCCACTCTTAAGACTACCAATTGATTTCTTAATGACTGGGGATGAGGGTTGGGGCATTTACCCTCAGAGCACTTGGAAAGAGTTCTGGCTGCTGGACCCTGAACTGGCTATGCTGATGTCCTGGCTGAGAGTAACTGTGGAAGGGCTCTAGTCACCTACATACCTGCACAGCCTCTGTCTCCACTGTTTTCTTCAGTAGCTGTATATCCTCTGCAGTTGGGGTCTCTGTTTCCATACAGCAGACAGAAGGCAAGGGTAGAGGTGCATAATACATGGGGTACTGCAGACAACACAGAGAACTGGAGTCAACATGCCATTCAACACAAAGCCTTTTCCCCCAGCATCCTAACATAGCAGGTCGCACTTCTTCCAGCCACTCTCTCTGGCCCCTGCAAAGGTAGCAGTAGGTAGACTAGACAGGAAAGGAGCATCCTCTCTTTCCTGTGCCCTCTGAGTCACAGTACACTGCATGTGCAGCCACAGCTGAGAGCACCGTCCATAAACACATACACGCTCTCTATAAGACATTACTCAGAGGCATTGCTACAGAGGGCCAGGCTGGTAAAGCACTGCCAACATCCCCCAGACACTGGGTTTTGGCTGGGACAGACCACCACTGCAGCAGTGTGCACAGGTCTGAGATCAAGTGCTAGAGACTGCTCTCATGGACTGAGGAAGCAAGTCAAGACCCTCAGTACATTCTTGTCTCATTCATCGTAGATCCTGCTGTTACCCACCTGGGGGTTCAGCCGGGCCAGCTCCTCTATTTTCTGCCACATTTCTTCTCGTTCCTTCATCCTGAACCTTCCCCTGAAGAGAGAGAGAGAGAGAGAGAGAGAGAGAGAGAGAGAGAGAGAGAGAGAGAGAGAGCAAGTATGAACTCCTGGGGAAAGTGCAGATTTCACCCACAGGAACACAAAAGCAAGAGACAGCAGAAAAGTGCAGGTAAGGGATAAAGAGCCACCCTGTTCTTCAGAGACCCCTAATTCTACCTGCAGGTCACACAACACAAGAAGGGGGACACACTGCAACTAGCACAAGGTAGGCAGGCACACTTCTTGCTCACCTCAGAACACAGGGTGGCAACAGTGGACTGCACAGGTACTTTTTCCCTGGCTTTATGCCGCAGGAGTGGATCCAAGTGTCTGGTTTCTGGGGTAAAGCAATGACACCAGTCTGCATGTCAAACACACATTTTCTTGGTGCCTCACAGATGCAGAGCGACAAACTGACATTTCCAATAGTGCCAGGGTTCCACTGCCCTCTATTCCCTCTCTCTCTAGCCATAACACACCAGACAGCTGCCCAAACCCCCAGGCACAGCTCTTGAACTTGGCACAGCACACATTTTAAGTGACTGTTTGACAGGGCCACTTATAAAGCCTAGGGTAGTGAATGTTCCCCACAAACAGAAGTGAGCATCCACCATCCCTTGTTATTCTCTTCCATATTTTAAACATCTAAACTAAAATTTCTGCTTTATTTCTGATTTTAACCCATCTTTCATCCCAGATACTGGTCTCTCTACTGCCCTATCCATGCTAAGGAAGTTCTTATACTCCATAGTCACATCACACTCTTGAAATTCATGCAAGAAAGAAGGCTAAAAATGAGAATGAAGCTGCCAAAGTTTCAAGCAGCGTGTTACTCAATGAGAGAACAGACAGTCAAACCCCCCCCCAGCCAACCCCAGAACACCCTAAAAAAATAACCCACACTTGATTTTTTGACAGAGCTCTGGATATCTCTGCAGGAGACTGTGACCAGGAGTTCTGCTCTAGCCCTTTCCTGCCTCATCCCCAGTTTCTCCAGAATCCTCTTTTATGTCTGGTAAATGGAAACACACTACTCCTATCTTGCCACTGGACATGTAGACCAATATGTCTGTCCACAAAGGCCCTCACATTATGAAGGTTACTGCCTTCCTAATGTTTACTTTGCTGGTATTGTGTCTACCACAATGCCCTGTAAGGGTGTAACAGAGCTCATCACATCACTGGTCTGGCACACAGTGAGCCCAGGGCACTCATCCTGTCATTCAGCTCCATGCATCTCTAGCACTAACTCTTTCCTTTCCGATCACCAAAGCAGTCCAAACAGCATCAGGGAAACTCTCCATTCCTCATCACACTTCAAGATCCACCAGTTTACCCATCATGTACTCAGCTGATGCTGCAAAAGACCACCTTGCAAAGAGAACACCTAGTCTGACTAAGAGCAGTGCTTCCAAAAATCTGCAAGCTTCACACCTGTGATCACTCCTTTCAGCCAAACAAGCATTTCTTAAGAGTGAGACCAAGTTTCATCTTTATTTGGATGCCACATTGACTTACCTGTAATATTACAGCTGCCCAACATGCTTCTACAGGAGACTCCTCCCAGTCTCATCAATCAGCCTGGCTTTACCTCCTACACTAGGCCATATCCATTACAGTTTATCTGAAAGTGTCACCCAACCACGTGGGTCCTTGGAGAATCCTACCCTTCTAACCACCAATGTTTTCCAGGACAGCACTGAGTGCCCAGCATCCCCAGCCCTGCTTTCTAGCTGATGTGCACCCTTCATTGACCCCCATTACTAGCAGTATGAGAAAGTCACTACCAGGATATTTGGAAAAGAAGACCTATACTGGGAGGTATCTTTTCCTAACTGATGCTGTGGCCTCTGCTGAAGGTAGCTGCTACCTGAGAGATGTCGAGTGTCAGGGTGGCCCCAGGGCACCCAAGGCAGTGTTGAAGGTTCTCACAGTTTTTACAGAAGGGCATATTCAGGAGGTATCTATCTGCCCCAACCTCCTTACTGGTTTTCTAGAGGGTTCTTATAATTCAAACAGCTTCAAGACGTCTGGGGAGATTAGTAAGGCACAGTCAGTCCATCTGCACTGAGCAGTAGAGAGCCTCCCCACATGTCCCTGGAGAGTCTGTCCCTCCATGACCAGTCCTCTGGCTTCAGCTGCACAGCCAGGAGAGCAGCAGTGACAGACCTGAGCTGGCATGTCACTTGTAGGCATGTTAACTAATTAAAAACATGGCTAAGCCATAAGCAAGCCTCTCAACATCTGGTTGCAGCCTAACAGTGAACCTACAAGCTCTCTCCTTTTCCCCATTTCCTGTTTGCTGGGATTGTTTGCACATGCAGTCCTTCCTACATGTGCTGTTTTCTAGTTTACAGCACAAGGTCTCTAGTGGTTCATTGGGAAAACGCTCCAGAGGTCTCTCTTCCTTTTTCTCTCCATGCTAAAGAAGTTGCAGTGTTCCACACTTGTCAGTCTCACTGCTCAAGTAAACCCAAGTTTCTAATCCATCCATCTTCCCAAGTGCCTGCTCTTTTCCCTCAACACTGTCCTGTCCACATCCAGATCCTTACCCAGCAAACTCTGATCTCCTCACTTCTCCACCTCTAATTTGTTCCCTTTACCTTACCCTTCTCTACTATCCATTGACATTAAGAATAACACTACCACTACTACTTCCCAACTTGGCTCTTCACTATACCTCTGCCTACAGTTTCTACCTCCTTTCTGCCTACAAGCTGTTCTTCCCCTCCAGCATGCTGTCCTACCCCAATCCCTCCTGCCACAGATTTCCTTTTCTAGTTGTTTCCCAGTCTGTCCCTAAACAGGTTCTCTCCCAGCTGTAGCATCCCTTTGGACCAGGAACCTTCCACACTTCTCAAGCCAGAAACAGCTGCTAATGCTGTGCCAGTGACAGTGGAGTCGATACCTCTTGTTCTCACCCTCCTTAGCTGGGTCCCTGTGGCAGGAAATCCAACTTAGGCGAAGAATTGTATCATGCTCACCAAAGTAAACTCGTCTCAGATTCTGCTGCTGGAAGACATTTTCACATCCTGCACATCAAGCTTTCAATTGACATTTTACCAAATTTTGGTTATCTAGGACAGCAAAAGGTATATCCTTGATAAAAACCTAACTCAAGTTTTGCTGAAGCCTCTGTAGGTACAGATGCACTAGAGGAAAAATAATTATGAACAGAAACAGTGCAGGTCTACCTATTCATTTCTTGGATAGCTCTGAGCTGCTTTGTTGAGCTTTTCCAGAATAATCCTCCATCAGCCACACACTAGGCTGGGAACAGTCAGCCTCAGCAGGTCAGCATGGGTAGAAGCTAAAGAGATAGAAAAAGCTCCTGATGGACACACCTGGTAGATCTTGTAGGAAATGTGCTATCACTGTAACTTAAAATATATGTGCTGATATCTATGGGCTTCGCAAATGCCCTAGAGTGGGAAAAAATCTTGCTTGTCCCAATTTAGATGTTAACAAAACCTGAATTTCTCCATAAGCAGGTTACCCATCCCAAGCTCTGATTCATGTATCAACTTTGTTATTTACTATTATTTCACGAAACAATGGAATGTACCCCAGAGCTCCCTACTGCTAGCAGGGATAAGCCCTGCTCTCCCCAGCAGCAGCCCTGGCTCGTTCAGGAATGAGAAGCACTATTTTGTGTCACTAAGTCAAAAAATAG